AGGAGGAGGAGGAGGAGGAGGAGGAGAAGGAGGAGGAGGAGGAAGAAGAAGAAGAAGAAGAAAAAAAGGAAGAGGAAGAGGAAGAAGAAGAAGGGCTTGATCCATAAGAGATGTGACAATTTGTGGTTTTATGCGCCCCGCATAATTTAGCAAAATTTGATCATTTTTTTGCATAATTTCTGATTATTTTCCTTTATCATTCTTCGTTAAAATTAACAGATTCGCATAATTTCACATTTTTGGGATCAGTTTGTATAATTTCAGAATTTTTCTAGCATAAAACGACGGGGACAGCCTTGAGGACGAATTAAAAAGTAATGCTAAAATTACTTTTGAATCAACATCTTACTTAAGAATAAATTTTATATCCTGATACTCAATTTTAAAACATGGTGTCTGTCTGTTTGCATGTGTGAGTGTATATGAGCCTGCATGTGAGCATATCTGTACTTAGTTTTAGTTTTAGTTTTAGTAGAGGTTTTACGGTGCTCGCAACTGCATAAGGTCATATATGAGCGCCAAGGGGTGGATGTCAACAGAGAAGTCCAAACAGGGAATCAGGATTACTCTGCTCACCTCGCTAGCCTCAACAGAACAAAGTCTGCTTCGACTATCAAGGACCCCAGAAATAGCAGTTCACAAGAGAGTGACGAACCTTTGAAAGAAGTAGAGGAAAATGACAATAGTAAGGGTGAGGAAAGAAAAAGCAGCAGTTCCCCCTACGTTGTTCTGGCACAGTATGAGCATTGATAAATCAGCCCTTTTACAATTCTACTGTGCAAAAGAACAATGTTAATTCCCCCCTTTGGGAATGGCCTAAAGACACTTCAGTCAGTAGCACCGCCCTGGGGGGGGGGGGGGGTATGTGTACTTAAAGTAAGAAGAATTTTACAACTGTAAGAACGCATGCAATAACTTTTATTTTTTCTTAAGAAAATGCAAATTATACATTGTATTACTACTTCAAGTATAACAAAATGATACAATTTCTTTAAATTCGGAAAACAAATTTCGCTTGGAATTTCACAACAAAAACTAATCTTGACTCCAGCATTTTGACAAATGTGAACGATTTTCAAGAATTCATTGAATGGTTCCGCAGGCCCCATAAAACTCTATGAAGGGCTGCAGTTTTCCCAACTTTGCAGTAGAACATGACTATGCACTATTTAATATATAATTTATGAAATTACAGTAGTATAACATAGATAGCTCAAATTCGCCGGGACCGGCCTCCGTAATTCGAGAGATCCGTTGTTCGAGGGATACATGAATGGTGTTTGGCATCGGCTGTGACAGAGAATCAAAGGAAGCAACAAAGATTGCTACAAGGGCCCTTTGATGTGTAAGTGCAGTAGAAATGAGTATGTAGTTGGTAGGCTATCGGTAGTCTGTCCATTTTTCATCCCTCCGCTGGTGCCAGCGATGAGCGCGATAGTGATGAGGAGCAGTAGCGGGGTAGACTGGAAGTGTTTGCTGTTGTTATGCTTTGTTTCTAGTTGAAGTTGAAGCCATGGTGAAATGAAAAATGAGGTGCTCTATGATGTGAGTGTGTGTGTTTGTGAGAGTGTGTGTGTGTGTGTGTGTGTGTGTGTGTGTGTGTATGTGTGTGTGTGTGTATGTGAGCATGTGAGTGCGCATGTGAGTGTGTATGTGTTTGTGTGTGTGTGGGTGTGTGTGTGGGAGAGTGTGTGTGTGGCTGTGTGTGTGGGAGTGTGTGTGTGTGTGAGAGCGCACACACGCGTAAGCGTGTCGAGCAGCGCGCTAAAAATAGCACAACTAGCTGCTTCTGTGGAGGGGGGAAGGTGGTATTTCATCAACCTTGCCTTTTTCCTTTTTTTCTTTTATTATCAATTTTCTTTTATCTCAAGTGCCCCTCAAAGGAAGTTTCTAATAGGCCTACCTTGTCCCAAACTAATATTGGTCTTTCTCCCAGCTTATGATTTTCTAAGGGCAAAATGTTGCTGGGCAACTGCTTGGGCTCAGGGCACAGAGGATGTTAAAGTTAGCTGCACATGACATAGTGACGTAGACTGTTGGTAACTGGCTTTTCCTAACTTATACACGGAAATGTTGAGATGGGTTGGAAAAGCTGAATGGCAAATAAATAAATTTCTTTTAATCGGAATCAGGGGTAGAGTGTCACAATCATATTTCTGTAAAATTAAAAAGGTTTTTTTAAGTTTAAAAACCTTAACGATTCCACCAAATTCATAAATATAAGCAACCTTTTCATTTCAGGGTTTTCTCCCGTATATTTACGCTTTCGTTCATTCTCATATGGTGTTTTCCCGACCCAGAAATCTGAACATGAAATTTCCTGCTTTTTCCCATTTTCTCAGTTGAGTGGGAACCATGCAAACATTATCGACTAATTGACAAGATTCGTCTTTAACAAATATATCACAACAGTTTCGGTGGACCTTTCACAGCCACAGCCCACAATAAGTTTGTTGATGGAGCTTACCTCAACATACGGTGAAGATAAAAATATGCTTTGCACAACATCTTCTGATCAGTGTAGGAACTAACAAAGTTCTTTACCATTTATGTTCCAGCTTCATGAATTTCTTTACATGTGACCTAATAACTTCTAACAACACACCGGTCAATATGTACACTTAGACTCTAAATATATTGCTGATTGTATCCATGACCTAAATACGAAAACAACTATCAGTTCTTACAACAAGTTGTCTTGATAACTGCTTGCAACACAGCTTTAAAAGCAGTACATGGTTTCTTTAAACATTGCTGACTGCATTCATAAACTGAAACTGAAACTGAAAGTAGGCAAACAATTTCCCAGCCAGTGACAGTTGTATTATTACATGGTATTGCTCAGAAACAAAACTGTGTATAAGAACTTTGAAGAGTAAAAGCTGCAACATTTATTTGCTGTTTGCTGTTATTTAATGTATGATAGCTAGATTTATTGTTGAGGTGAAAAAGTGAAAACTTTCAGTTTGTCGATATGAAGATACCAGGAGAAACTGATTTTGAGCTTGCATTTTACAATATCATATCACAAACTTTATGTTAGTTTCATTTCACTTTGTTTCACGATCTAGTTTGATTAATATTTTAGTCTATATGCATGTTATTTGATTTCTCTTCAACATTGTCATCTTGCTTAATCTACCGAACAGTCACACAGAACAGATGGTGTGTCATAAAAATAGAAAAACAGCACACTGGCGATGCCTCTATCTGGCCCGCAGACGACACAAGTATATTCTCGTATTTTTTTCCTTTTGTTTCGGTATCTTGAAGGATGAACAGCATGATGATTTGTATCACTTGAGAGTTACTAGTGAAGATTTAGGCAACATATCCCTTGGTACACTAAGACCCAGATAACTCAAAATCACAAACAGCTGAAAGAATATAGGCCCTATGCCATTCCCCAAAATAACCGTTATATTTTTTTCCCATAGGCAGCACTGTTTTCTCAAACACCTGCATGAATCTATCATCCTGCAGCTTATCTCAAAAAGCCTCATCAAATTTTTCCTTGCAGTAGTCTTGATTTCAAATCGCTGTCCATCACTCTATCATTTTATCTGTAACGCGGATACAGGGTACTTTTCAAGATGGAAGTGATTTATTTTTCCAACCATTATAACCGTCTCAGTAGCTTTCCTTGATTTTCTTCAATATATCTCTCATATTATTCTTTATCATGGTTTACTCGAATTACAGATGTCAAAAACATTTTGCCAACCCCCAACATGTTCGAGATAGCATTGCTGTACTTTAGTTGATAAAGACAAGGGCTTGGTCAGGCAATAATTTAAGATTCTAAAAGATAACCTTCACTTATCAAACACCTGGTAAAGGAGCTAAGAAACTTTGAAAAATTAATTCCAAAAATAAAGATATACTTTAACACGCTGTGCCCCACCCCTCCTGAAATTCAGAACAAAAAGTCTGTACCCAGTGCATGCTGTAAATCAGATTCATTAGTAAATTTGAGTCAGGGGACAGCCGGTTTTCCCTTCATGGAAGGAGTAAAAGCTGTCACTTTGGAACAATTTAACACAATCTGACTAAATTTGACTCTGAACTTCAAAATCAAATGCATTTGTTTTTCAAGGTTGCGAGTCAAATCACTTATATTGTTCTAAAATGGTAGCTTTTTCCCACCCATTAAGGAAAAATCTGGCAAACCCAGGATGAATCAAATAGATCTGTTCAGCAGTGTGCATGCAACATTACTCATCATTTTCTCCATCTTGGGTACTCTGTGGGAGAAGTGGTCGCCAGCCTATTATACCTCCGGAGAAATAACACAATCGGAAACAAAAAAAGTAGAGTAAAAAAGCTAGAGAGTATTTGGGGGG